ATTATTTTTTTAGATATATATGTAATGTCATATGATCTACTCTATTGAAAAGCAACAGATTAGCAACTAGTTATTAAATAATAATATATAATATATTTTTTAATAATTTTTATAATAAGACTTATATCTCAGTTTTATATTTAATGATAAAATCAATTTTTAAAATAAAATACAAAAGTGTTCTTCTAATTTTAAAATAAATTAAATTAATAAACTAGTAATATATATTTAATATTTATAATATTTTTACCGATATATTGTTAAGTTTATTTTTTAATATGTTAAATATTTCTAAAATTTTAGCATTACTAATATATTATTAAGTTTATTTTAAAATACAAATATTATTATTTGAAATAGAATTATTAGTAATATTATTATTTTGAATAATTTTTTTAAGAAAAAGTTATATTTTGTTAAGTTTTTCTTATAATTAATTCTATTATATTAAAAAATAAAATAACATAAAATAATAGTATAAAAAATAGTAAATGTAATATAAAATATAGTAAAATAATAATTACATAAAATGATATATTGGTTAAGGTATAGTAAATCATGTGATTTAATATAATAAATATTTATTAGATAAATATGATTAGAATATATAAATGATATAATAGTTAAATAGATAATGATATAATTAGTTAAATAATAAAATTAACTAAATATTTATAATTAACTATAATTAGGATACAAGAAAACAAAATATGAAAAAAATAGAAAATAGAAACAGAAAAATAGAAATAGAAAATAAAAATACAAACTGAAATACAACTGAAATTTAGCAAAAAAAATTATAGAATAATTAGCTTGTCATATAATATTTTTATTATAAATATCTAAAAAATTTGAGATAAAATTAGGATTAGGATTAAATATTAATTCAACAGTTAAATTTAAAGATCTATAATTAAATAATATAATTAGAAACTTTTGTATTAATTCATTTCTTTAATAAAAATACCTTTATATTAAATATATATTATTTATATATCTTAAGGAATTAACAGTTTAGAGACAGGTTTAATAAACTAAAAGGAATAATATAGTTCACACTAATTCTAAGTAAGCTTATTAACTTATATCTTATTGTTTGATATCCTTATGATTGATATGTAATATTTTATGTTAAATAAACTAAGCAGTAGTAGTATCAAATGTCAATTTATGTTAACTGATAGTTGATATATGTCAAATATCTAATACTGATTAAACTTTTTTAAAGCATTATAAAATTGATCTAAAATAAGTCTATAATTTAAGCTAATTAGAATTTGATGTAAATCATTATCTGAGAAATAACATACAAGGATATAAAAATTATTGGTTATTTTTTAAAAATTTATTATGACATAAATAATATATTAATTTTTTTATATTATTAAAATTTCAGGTTAACGTTAATATTTCATTAGATTACTATTTGTTACAAGAATAACTTGAATTTGATGTAGCATTAATTTAATCAAATTGTAGTAATAATTTATAGGTATTGCATTTCATTTTTCTAAAATCCTTTATTCTAATTGTGTAATACTTGATAGTTAAGAATTACATTAATGAATTTTAACTTTGATATATAATCAACTATTTTCTATCAAATTTATATCAGGGCTCTGAGCTGGCAAGAAAGTAACTCAATACTTAAAAATTTAATTAAGAAATGTGTAATTTTTGTAATATGAATAGGTGTGTTGTCCTTTTAAAAAATGATTTTTTTGATTTTTTTTACATGAAATTTAACTGAAAAAATTGTATAATTAACCAAAATTTTATGATGTATACAGTTAACTTTGATAAAGCAAACTCTTGATATAATAAATTTTTTGAAAAAATATAATAAAAATACTTTTGTTATAGCAAATTAGCTAATCAATCTCTTAAAATCTTCACTATAGCCTTATAGCGAAGTTGAGGTTTAAAATATAAAGTTTATTATAACAAGAATTAACTGTATTTTCAGTTATGTAACCTATTAAAAGAACTAATAAATTTATACTAACTCAAGAAAAATATTCCTAAAACATACAATTAAAGTATTTTTGAACTGTAGCTACAATACAGTCTGTGAATTCTTTAGAAGGTTTATGTTATGCATGCCTAAAATCTAAAGTTCTAAATTGTATGTAAGTAGACTTGTCTGATCAAATAAATTTTTTAAAATTTTCAACTGTTTAATTTTTATAAGTACAAGCTTAAAGTAAATGTTTTCTTTATTTTTTTTGAAAATTAATAGACTAAACCAAGGAATATGTGAGGGAGACCTTGCTTCACCAATTTATTGTAGATAGTTTTTTAGAAATAATTTATTTACACTATTTAAATATATTTATGAAAAGGATTGATAACAGTTTTTTTATTTCTAATTACCAAACACTTAAGTATTTACATTTAAACTTATTAAGAATTTGTAGTTAATCTGTTCATTTCTTTAGAAGTTTTTTTAGTTCATATGTTTTTTATACATATCATACAGAAGAAAGAAAGTAACTAATAACTACAGAAATTCTAGCATTTATATGATCTAATATTTTATTACAATAATTCCTCCTCTTTGACTTTCACTAAGTTCTTTTCTAAGATATATTACTGTGACAAATTTTTCACACTATAATGTAAAATTTTTTTTTGTATATCTATATAATTCTACTTTATATATTACAATAGTATTTTATTTATATTTATTATTAAGTACATATTATATATAAATAAAAAACAATTCTGATTTGATTTTATAGGAATATAATAATAAGTATTACTTTTTTATCATGCTAATTAGACAGCCAATACTTTTTATATCCTATATATATATTTAAAAATTTATTTATACAATAACTCATATTATAACTTATAAAATAATTTATATAGTTAAATTATAAATAGAGTCACATAATTTGATCTTAATCAAAATTTTGATTAGAATAAAATTGATATTAATTAAAGTTAAACAATAGAAAATATTAAAAATATTAGAGAAATATTAAATTAAGTTAAAAAAAATGAAAATTTAATTAATAATTTTTATTCATTAATAATTTATATTTAAAATAATTAGAGTTATTTAAAAAATCAAAAATATTTTTATTAGTAAATCTAATTATGTAAAAGTATTTATTATAAATCTATAAATTAAATTATATATTATTAAAAATCAAAATTTATTTTTAATAATTAAGATTTATTTCTTTTAAAGTAAATCTAATTGTACAAAAATATTAATTATAAATATATGTATTATATTATTTAAAAAATCAAATTTTTACTTTTAAAATAATTAGATCTTATTTCTTAAAATAAATTTGATTTTGCAAAAATACCTGTTATAAATCTATATATTGCATTATTAAATAATCAAAATTTATTTTAAAATAATCATGACTTTTTTCTTTTTATAGAAATTTTATCAATTAAGTAATTCCTTTTATTATATATTTTTTTTTTTTTTAGTTATATTTAATCATATTAATATAAAATTATTTTAATTTATATAAATATTTTTCAATCTTTAGATTATTAAAGTCTTATAAATAATTTTTTAATAAAAGATTTAAATACATTTTTTTTTTAAAAAAAATAAATAATTAAAATATTAACATAAATAAAAACTTAAACATAAATCTAAAATTAAAATCAAATACTTTTATCAAAAATATTATTAATATGTTTAATACAATTTTAAAATATAAGTTAACTTTTAATATAATAAGACTTGATGATATGGGAACGGTCAATAGAAAAGGAAGAAATCTACAAATTTTGAGTAATTTTAGTTATTAAGCTAGTTTTATTCACATGACCATGATCAGCAGAGTGAACCAATAAAAAAATTTATAACTAAAAGTGGATTTCCTCTTTTTCTACTGACCACCTTTCATATAATAAATTTTTATCTATCACATAATATTTAACCAATAAATTACATTAAAAATCTCTTATTATATTGAAGCAACTAATCAAATTCTTCAAATTCTTTATTATAAAATTATGATAAATTTGATGTTTAAAATGATAATTTTATTATATTAAAGTTAATTATAATTTTGAATAATTAAAATTTTATTATAAATAATTAAAATTAAATCATAAACATTCATAATATTTATGAATTATATAAAATTATATTAAAACTATCATCAATAAAATTATTAATATCATTAATTAAGTTATAATTACAATCTTTATAATTATTATAACCATAGTCTTTACAATCATAAAATCTTTTTATTCCATTCCATTTTTTTTATTTTACCATTATTATTAACACTATCATCAATATTAATAATGATAGATAAATAATAATAATAGTAGTAATATAACCATTACAATTATTATCATCATTACATTAGAATCATTATTAATAGAACAATTATATTTAAATTAATTAATAAGATAAATAATAATTTTTTAATATATTTATAATTTTAATTAATTCTAATTATTTTTGTAATTATCATAGTTTATTAAATACTTATTATTATTATAATATTTTTTTCAAGTAAGTATATGTGAAATAGCTTCGCCATCTTAAGAAATACAATATTGTAAAATAAATTATATAGGATTTTCCGTTCGAATTTCGAATAATTCGAATCTCAGTATTCTAAGACAAGATTTGTTGGATTATTCATTCTTTTCAAAAATAATCAATCGACAAAGTAAATTTTCAAATCATATTGCATATCGATCTTATTCGAATGCCCTTTTCGAACGGAACTCTAAAATTATATATCAAGACATGATGATAATTACGGCTGTCGATTTTTTTAATACTTTAACAAAATCTCGAATTGTTGTCAAAAAAATGATTTGTGGCTTTGACAATTTGAACACCGCCACGAACTCATTGCATTATAAATAAACCATTATCAGAAAAATTTTGCAGATGAATATCCGACACAAAGTTTACTCAAACAAGACAACAAGTTGTGGCTTTAATAAAAATTGTGTGAATTATAAATTCTAATTTGATCAAATTTTAAAACATTTTATTCAGCGAAATGGACGAGGAACAATGGGCTATATTATTCGATGAAGAATGTATGTGAACTTGGAATAATTTTCGATTTAAAATTCGATAATATTAATAATTGATGTATGTTACGCTTTTATAGACATTAGAGCTGAGGACTATAGGAGAAATTCAAAGACATTGGATGAATTTAATCGATTTTTGGAGGAACTCCCTTCTTTATTAAAAAAGAAATCTTCGGTCGCATTAAATCACTGTTTAAGATGTCGAAAGATTACAACCATCCCTGGTAAAACGGATGAGGATTTACAATGTTTCCGAGTCAAATATTCACATAAGGTCGAACGAATTTTGACGGTTGATGCTCTTCGAGATACTAAATTAAACTTGATGACATTAGAAACCCTCTTTTATGAGTAAGTAAAATCTAATCTATCCATTTTGATGAAGAATTCCGAATGCTCATTTATAAATATAAACTGATAAAGTCCCTCGTTTATCATGAAGGGTAGGATTAAATTTTGAAGTATTTAATCGATCGATGGACAGTTTCTTTGAAAAATATAAAGTTTATATATGTAAAAGATGTGATGCATTGTCAGCGACACCTGAACATGCAGGTTATCGAAATCCAGGTCATAATCAATGTGATGTTCTTACAAGTTTGAAGCAATTAAGAGAAATTGAAGTTGAGTTCGATTTATTGAATTTATTTGAAATATTTAAAAGTTGCGTGGATATTCATCGACCAAATCGATTATCGAAGAAATGGGATCTGTTTTCCGAAGAAATTCCCTTGGTTAAACGTGATTTCTATGACGGATATTTTGGTAAATCTGAATGGGCGAAATATATTAAAATTGACGGTATGTTTATAAACTCATATCGTTTATCATTAAGAATAAGAAGCTAACCCTTGATCGATCGATTGCCACAGATTATTATTACATGAAAAATGATACCCTTTTGCTATACACGCAATTTCTTCGTGATCTTCCAAAGAGACTTCAATATTGCGCACTTTATAAATGTGTGAATTGTAATCGTATTTCCTCAAGACCAAGATTTGTAGGTCTTTGTCATCAGACTAATCAATGGATTTCCGATGATGCTTATCTTCCGCAAATTCCTCATAAAAATCATGAAATTGATAACGTTGAAGTTTTCATTAAAGCAAAGGTCTCATTAAATTCTTTATCAAGAGTTTACGCTCAAAGATACAACGAGTAAGTTATATCGAGAAATGTATCAAAAAAAAATAAGTTTTTTTTTTTAACTAAAACAAATCTTTCTTTTTTAGACTATCAATTCATTTAAATAATTTTTTATCTGGTTTATTGGGATTTTCATATTTTATTAAAACTTGTGAAATCTTTATTTGTACACAATGTGGAACATTTTCTGCATTAGAACAAGGTGGAAGTTTGTGTAGGAAACCTTATCGGGATCACGCATTTGAAAGAATTAATGATATTTTAACATTTTATGATGAATATATTAATCTATTCGATTTACAATATGTTCTTCAAACAGCTTTAAATATCGCTTATCCCGATAAACCAGTTTATTTGCCTAAAAATTAAGAGATAAAATAAAATCATATATTACAAAATCAGATGACTCTCAATCATTTATACGATTAGAAAATATCGCCATGAGCTGTGATTTTAAATTCTTTACCTGCCATTAAATTCAGTTTGATAAACACAGAAGAAATGAGTATGACGATTAACGAGATTTTTTGTGAAACATTGATAAACTTTAAAAAAAACCATGAAATCATAAGCAAAAGAATTTATTTAAAAAATTGGCGCGAAAATCATTCACATACAAATGCAAAATTTAATTCAGTTGTAAATAGAGATGGGGTTAAGTATTTTTCTGTCCTTAATTTGTCAGTTCATTTCCTACGTAGAGCAGCAAAATCGTAAATTATTTAAATAAAGGACTTCAATTAAGTAAAATTAACTGGGACTTATGAATAATGACATAGGTAAGGATATTATATATTGAAGTATTATATGATTCCATTTTGTCTGAATATCATAAAAGATGTTGAATCTCTTCATAATAACGGTAATTCAAATTATTCGTTTATTTCATCAACCTAGAAATGCTACTTGTCAAACTCATAGCAGGAATAGGGAAATAGATGGATTGTCGAGAACATACTATTCATGATAGAAATCAATGTATCAGAACACAAAATACCAGGTACGTTGGTTAACATATTACAATAATTTATTATAATAATTTTATTTAATTGCTTTAAAGTGACATATTTTCAGTCAATTTGGTAATGATTATACGTTTAAGTTAGTTAGATTGACCCGTATACTACCAATGCGAGATCTATGCTAAGGTTTTCTGATTGCTAATGAATTTGAACCTGCAATGGAGAATCACTAAGGCCGATCTTTTTGATTCTATCAAGATGATATGTTTTTCTGAAATCGAGTAACGAATCAGACAATGAAGACAAATTTAATCACATGCTTTTTAGGAAAATGAAATCATATGGGACCTTTGCAATAGAAAAGGGGGAAACGGCTGGAAAAAATAAGAAATGAGTTAATGCTAAATCTGAACATATTTTGACCTAAAAATCATATTTGGCATATAAAAGTAAAATTGATTTATTCCGGCAGTTTCCCCCCTTTCTATTGCAAAGGTCCCATATGTTCAATTACAACCTATAAATCCAATACTGATTTCAAGGCAATTATATCCATTGAAGAATCAGGTGAACAGCTTCTTTCTTTTGTAACCGTCGACCATACCTAAAATCATATCACTGTATTCTTTTAATTATTATTTCAACTTAATAAATGTCTCGGATTCCTTTTGTTGAGAATTTGAATAATTTCAATTTCTAGGCGTATTATCCTAAAAAATACTATCAATATAATATTTTTTAATTTGATCGAAACTTTATAAATGAAAATTCATAACGATAAATGTATTTTTTAATTACATCTTAGAAGTTAATTCCTATGATCTCTTATTATAAAATGTTAAAACATTAAAAACTCGTTGTGATCTTATTACGAAATTGGTTTTTAGAAACCTACCAATTCGAACTTTCTATATTGACATTTATTAATTTTGTGAAAGAAAGAAAAAAAAAAAGAACAATATAAAACCATAGTAGAATTACCGGGTTATATCTAATTTTTCTAACCCTGATTGGGTGATGAAATTTACATGCTATATAATATTGTATTAAAAACGAAAAAGGCGAAGTATTTCTAATTCGTCTTGTGCAATCTGATCAATATCATCTGACGTATCGGGGACTGGTGACTGTTGAGAAGTGGATTGCTGAAAATTGGAATCTTGTTTCGACACTTGATTGTCAACTTGCGCGGATGATCGTCTATGTAATCGTAATGGTGACCCCAAAGTAAGTTGATCGGGTGTATCGGGTGTATCGGGCGCGGTTGGTGACGGAGATTGTAAAGCATACTTGCGTTTGGGAGATAAGATTTTTTCAATCTCCAAGTCGACAGGTTTCAGTCGTGATTGTGGTTTCGAAGAAAATACACGAAAACGAGAATAAGGTTGCATTCTTTGTGAACGAGGAAGTGGAGTCGTAGGAGGAGAATTGGTTTCTATTATAACTTGATGCATCTTTTTTGCTCGCTCTTCTATTCCTTCCATGTATTTAAGAAAATCCTTGTTTGACAGATTAATTGGGTCCATTTTTTTCATCTTTAGAAAAAAAAGAACAAATATTTTTATTTTGGTTTCAGATTCACGTTTTATCTTTTAATCAGGACTGATTTTCTGTCGATCCCCACAATTTGCAGGTTTTCTTTTTGGAAGATTATATAAATTAAACCGAAATCTTTCCTTTATAGGAATGTAGCGGGTTTAGCTCAGTTGGGAGAGCGTCAGACTGAAGTTTATTTGTTATCTGAAGGTCGGGTGTTCAATCCACCCAACCCGCAACTGAAAACTTGTAAATTTTTTTTTTTTTTTCCTCTGAAAATTAAAAAACTTATTTTAATGAGCAGGTCATTGACAATGCGTGAAAATTTGATGCAAAAAAAAGTTATTTCGCACTTTCACATTGCACACATGAAGACTTTTCTCGAATTCAAAATTTTTTAAAGGCATCTCTTAGTTACGTGAAAAAAAAAATTTAAAGTGACACGATATGCCATCATCAGTTAACAAAATAATGGCAAAAGATAATCCGAGCTCACCAGGGGTCGAACCTGGAATCTCCTGATTCGTAGTCAGGCGCCTTATCCATTTGGCCATGAGCCCAATTCTTTGAATGAACTTTAAATATATTTTATTTTAAAATGATTAAAATTTTTCATTTTACATAACTAGAACGATAAATAAGTATTTTTCATGGCGATCAAGTAAATCTAATCTTAAAATAATTTTTTTAAAAAAATGTTTTTATATATGAAGTATAGTATTTAATATAAAAAATAATTTTTTTAATTATTTAAAATTATAATTATAAAAAAGAATAATATGCAAAATGTTTCTTATATTCTTTTTATCATTATCATTATTATTATTATTTAAATTATAGGAATTTTAAGAAAATTTAAAGATAAATTATTTTTTTTTTTTATTGTTTATTTATTAATATAAAATAATAAAGATAATGATTTAAATGATTTAAATTAAATACTATTATTTTTTATTATTTATTTTTTAATAATATATAATTTTTTATATTGTATTTTATATTTTAAATTTTTTTATTATATTTAATATTTAACCTTTTAAATTTTTAATAATTATTTTATATATAAATATAACTATAATCTTATTAGTAAAGAAAAATCTTTTGATAGTTTAATTTAATTTTATATAACATTATAAAATTAATAATAATGATATTTATTTGTTAATACCTTTATATTTAGCTTAATTTATTTAATAAACTTATATATATTTTTTTTATTAATTATTTATTTATATTAATTGTATTTATAATTCTTTAGTGATTAAAGAATTAATTATATTATTATTTTATATTTATGATATAATATATAAATTAAAATAAAATTATTTATTTAAAAATACAAAAAATACAGATTATTTAAAATTATTTAAATTATTAAAAATTTTTAAAAAAAATAAATAAATAATAATAATAATAATAATAATGTTTATTTAAGTATTTAATTAATATTTTTTTTTTTTAAAAAAATATAATTAATTTATTTTTAAAATTAAAAAATTTTAATTTTTTAAATTTTAAATATAATTTAATTATTAATAAGTAATTTACTTTTTTATTTACTGTATATATAAAATTATATGATAATATTAGTATATAATTTTTGCAAATTATGATAGTTACATAGAATATCAGAGTTGATTCTTTTTAAATCATATAGTAAAATATATGATTTATATTAAATAAAGTTCTAAGAGTTTATACTTTACATATAATAATTTATTGTTAAAAATAAATTATACAAAATTAGTAATTGAATAATATAAACAATTATTAATAAAATATAAGAAAAATATAAAGAAAAAAAACAATAAAAAAAAATTAAAAATAAGGATAATTTATAATTAATTAAGTATTGCTTATAGCATAAGTATAATAAAAGATAATTACTGAAAGGAATTTGATAAGAAAGATTTATTTTTTATATAAATAATTGAATTTTATATATATATTTAATTATATAAAATAATATGTTTTAACTATTTGAATTATATTCTATATTAACTATATTAAATATGTTAAATATGTTAAATATATCAGATATGTTGATTATATTAATTATGTTAAATATTTATACTATGTATATAGATTAATTATATTACAATAATTAAGTAATAATAATAAATAATTATTATAGATAAAAGATAAATTTTTAATAATAATCAAACTTAAATGAAATTATATTAAATTAAAGTAAAGGATATAACAAACTCTTTTAATATGATAATAACTAAAACTAAAAAATTATTTTAAAAATTATAAAAGAAATAATAAAGGAATTTTGAGAAAAGTTTAATAAATATATACTGTATAATAATATATATTTTTATAAAAATATCTTTAAATTATTTTACTTTAAATTTATTAGATTATTAGTTTAGAGTGTTAGTATAAGATTATATATTTCTATATAATATAACTCAAGATATCCAGATCAGGAACAATAATTTTCTGCGGTAATAAATAGCCAATTTCGTTTGTAATAAAAGATAATTCTGCAAAATTTTACGATTTGATCAGAATTACATAAAATCAGATAGTATTATGATTCACCAATCCCTGACCAAAATAGTATCAGCCAGCATTATGATAGTTGCACATTCTAATTTAGGCCAAAAATTTAGAAATTATCACCATTTTTATATGCATATTCCGTGATTTTCTGCAAAATTCTGTGAATGTAAAAAATCATCATTCCTGATTCAGATATCTGTTTGCTTAATAATTGAGTTGATAGTGATTGGCTTTTATAATATTTTTAGTTAAGATCATTTCAGATTTAACAATGATCACTGTTTTCTAGTTTTTAATAAATTCATATATAATTAATATAATTTTTAATAAATAGTACTATATAAATTTATATATAATATATATTATATATAATTTTATTAAGATTAATATTTTATATAATTAATTTTATATTAAATATATAGAAATATAATTTCTGTCTTTTATTGTTTTCTTTATATCATTTATAATAATTTATTATAAATATCTTTTATTACTTTTTTTAATTATTTATAATATAATTTTTTTTTTTATTATTATGATAAGTTTTTACAATTTCTTAAATTAATATTATTTATGATTTTGCTATTATTTAAAATATATGTAACTTTTAATTTTAATTTATAATGATAAGAAGTTTAATATAAATCATTTTTATTATATAAAAATCTATATATAATATTAAATAAATGTTTTATTCAATTTTTTTTTTAATCTTCCATTTGATTTTGCCCTAAAGGATCCAACAAATCCATGGAATGTAATGAATAATCAATAATATAAGAATCCGTGATTAATTTATCTAAACGTTGATAATGTCTTTCAGTATATGATACCATTCCATCCAATATCTATATTTTAAAAATAAAAGGTTAATTTCTAATAAAATCACAATTTCCATTATAAAGTTAAGTTACTTACATCCTTAATTCCATTAATTTTCAATACATCTTGAGATGAAAAAGATTTGAGGATAGCATATAAAATAGTTTGAGTGGTATGGTAATTTTTTGCATTAGTGTTCCAATCTCGAATATATTTTAATAGTTGTTCAAGATTTTCCTTTGAAAGTGTCGCAATTATCTCATCTGTTGACTCGGAACCTGTGATGCTATCATCACCTAAATATAGAAAACAATTATTTAAGATTCCATCAAAATAAATAAATAAAAGGGAACTTAAGGGTAATATAAATTCACCTTCAGCTCTGCTATTTAGAACCTCGGTAAATAACTTTAAAAGTTTAAACGGTTGATTCAATGAAATAGCAAGCATAATAGCATTCTTATAATCTTTCTTTAACAGATAATTTGACAATTCTTGTTCCCTAAATGTAAAAAGAAAGTTAAATTAACAATTGGTTCAAAAAAAAAAAATTTCGTTAAATGCCCAACTCACTTTAAAATTAATTCTTCTTCTTCTTTAACACGAGTTTCCATTTCTTCTGCAGTACAATCTTGCCATATATTTATTAAGGAATCACCACCACCCGAAGCAATGAATCTTTCATCTTTTCGTACAGTTAGAGACCAAATTTTTTCCGTATGATTATCCAGCGTAGTCACACATTCATTTGATTTACAATTCCATAATTTAACTAATCCGTCAGATCCACTTGATATTAGTTGCAAACCTGAAGTTAAAAATGATACTTTTAACACAGTATTTGTGTGTCCTTCAAACGTCTAAAAAATAGTTTAAAAATTCAGATTTTAACAGAACAGAAATGACAGATTAAGAAACATTTTTTGAAATCATTTACATACCTTTAAACAAGAAAAATCATTTATTGACCAAATTTTGATAGTTTTATCACCAGAACTTGAAACGATATTGGGCTCAACAGGTGAAAATTGTACGCACCAAACCCCCCTTTTATGTCCTATACAAGTTCCTAATAATTTTCCGTCAGCGACTGACCAGATTTTAATGGTCTTGTCTTGTGATCCAGATGCAAACATTTTATCATTTTGTGAAATAGATATTGAATTTATATCCTTTTCGTGTGCTTGGTGCGTATACAACGATTTTGGCCTGTACTCTTCATCGCACTTTGACAGATCTATAACAAAGCGAAGAATATCTAAATATCTAACCTCAGGAATCACATTAAACTCAATTAATCAGGATAAACTTACCTGTCTTAGATAAATCCCAATATTTCACAGTACGGTCTAGACTTCCAGTTATGCAAAACTTTAGACTCTTATTGGGTAAAGCAACGGTTCCAATAGATCCAGTATGCCCAATACAAATTCCGCATGGTTTAACGATTTCCTCAGCTTCGTTTGCTTCAATATTAATTTTCCATAATCTTGCAGTGTTGTCTTTTGATCCAGACATTAAAAATCTACCATCGAAAGATTTTGATAAACAAATCACTATATCTTTATGTCCATAAATAATACTATTGTCAAATGAATCTACATTTAACAACCGAATTTGTTCAGTATTTGTTGCTATGGCCAAGAGTGATTCCTCTGGACCTACATAGACGAGGTCGATTATTTCATCATTGTGACCTATAATTTGTTTTATTCTACGTAAACCGGATGATATGTTGTAAAATAATATATTATGATCTGTTGTCACGGCCGTTAAATAATCGCTTTTACGAAGATATCTAAAGGGAAAATATTATATTAAGGTTAAAGAAAAATATTTTCTAATTGTAATTTTTTTTATTCAAACAATTCCTCATACATTATTTCCGAGATCCCGTAATTAGTATTCTTTTCGGGATCCTGTGCTTTGACAAGGTTTCCGGTTTTAAGATCCCATATCCTAATAATTCCTAATAAAATAAAATAAAAGATTTTAAAATCTTGATATAAAAAAATTCTTTTGTTCTTAATAAATATAATACCTTTATCGCCACCAGTATAAAATAATTCTTTTCCACAATTATTCTCAATTTCAGATATTATAGTGTTAGGTTCTAAAATTCCTACCGTTTCTACAGTCTTAAAGAAAACAACATCAAATCATATTAAATTTTGTATTTTCTTTAAAAACAAAAAAAAAAAAAATGAAAAATGACAAATCATATATACCTCGTATACGGGAAATGTTTTAACCAATTTTTTCTTATTCAAGTCCCAAATATTTACAACTTTGTCTCTCGATCCACTTAATAAATATTTGCCGTCATTTGTAACATCCAATCCACGAACCATACTAACATGACTTTTCAACACAGCCACGCAACTAAAATATTCCACAAAAAAAAAAAAGTATTGAAATTATATCTCCAAATCAAAACCTTCCACAGGGGAAAGATTACCTTCTTTTTGATAAATCCCATATACGAATATTACAATCGTCAGAACCGGAAATCAGCATCCATCCATAATTCTCCTTCCAGAATTTCAACGAACTTATAATTCCTCCATGTCCACGAAAATTATGCGTACAAAACCCTCCTTCAATATCCCATACTTTTACCGTACTATCAGCTGATCCCGTTGCAACTAGTGTTGATGTTCCATCAACATCAATTACAATTATAGGAGCTTCATGAGCCTGATAGAATAATAAAGGAAAACTAATAAGAATTTATTTTTAAAATAATGCCTAAAGAAATAACCTTTTTTTTTATGACGAGTTACCTTGAATGATCTTATACATTTTCCTGTTTCCAAATCCCATATTTTAACTGTTAGACTACGAGATGAGCTTATTAAATATTTACCATCTGGTGTTATAGCGAACGTTGTAATTATTTCCGTATCCTGATAATCAAGGTAGGATAGAATTAATTCAAATAAGCGGAAAATTATAAATTTCATCAAAAATCATCAATGATGAAATTACGTACTCCACTTAAACGAAACAATCTTTTTCCATTTTGAATCTCCGTAACATCAATATCTTCTCCAATCGTTGTAATCAAATATTGTTCATCCGGTGTAATTGCTGCTTTACCACCAGTAAATAATGATTCAATCGTTCGTGTAACCTTAAAACTTCATTTTTTTTTTTTTAATAAAAAAATTCGATCCAAATACGTATCCCCCCGAAATTAATGAAATTTACTGATTAAAATATTTGATGTAACCAGAATATTGGTAAAATATTATAACAAAAAGAAATGAATTCGGAATTCTTACCTAGTTTTGATTTGTGGTTTTCCTGTTACTTCAGGCATTTTCGATAAATTTCAAGAAAGAATGTAAATGACCAATCAAAATGTGATGTAATCAATTAATCGATTATTTCAGCTGATCACGTATCACACGCCCCCTATCTATATATAATCATAAATATCGAAAAACAGTCATAACGCGTTATAATAATACGCGTCGCGATTTTTGATTATAAATAAGCCTTTTTTTCACTTCACCTTTCAAATTTTTTTTTTAAATTTTTTTCAAATTGCCAACTCAAACAATAACAACCCTCTATAATAACTATAACGTTAAACACTTTCCAAAACTTTTCTTTCTACACGTAACAAGAAAACACACACATAATAAAAAATCATGGCAAAAGTAAAGGCTGCAAAGAAAGCAACTGGTACATATAACAACTTATCTTTCACTTCTTATATTTTAAAAAAAAAAGTTCTCGCGTTTAATAAAAATTTTTTTTCTTTATTTTCTTAATTTTATTTTAGGACGAGCAATCTCACCTTACAATAAGTTTATGAAAACCGAACTCCCCAAAGTAAAGGTCGATAACCCTAATATTTCTCACAGAGAAGCCTTTAAGGTTGCTGCTCAAAGATGGAAAGACGCGCCTGAAAATCCAAAGAACAAAGAAGAAGAAGAAGAGTAAAGACGAAAACAACCCTTCAAAACATTTCTTCTGGACTTTTTTTTTTTTTTTTTTGTGACATTAATTTTTCCTTGGGTTTTTTATGTAAATTCTTTTAATAATTCCTTTTCTTTTGCGTAAAATAGAAATAATATTTTTTTTTTCATGTTCTTTAATATTTTTTTTTCTTACAAACTATTTCTACTGTTCGAATCATATAATTCGTTATATTTCTTTTCTATAATAATAATGTTTTCACACTAATATATTCAAGTTAATAAATTTCTAAAACAATTTTAATTTTCTATTTGATAAACACAAAATTTTTTAATGTTTCGTTTAGAAAAATTTTGACTTTGATAATAAGTTTTTTTCGCTCCCAACGTGAAAATTTAATCTTTTGAAATAACAAAATTTATGATGAACAATACAAGAAATACAAGAAATGAATTTTTTGGTGTATAATTGTGACGCGACGTGCGCGCGTTACGTGACGTGACGTTAATGACGAAAGTTTGCATTCTACTTAAGAATTTTCTCTTTAATCTTAATCATTAAATTATCACAATGTTTCATAACAGAATAATGATATTTAACAGGTTCATTCATGTCAACTAATTCCACATCATATTTTCTATACAGCAAGACCATCAAAGTTTTCAATTCGGTCATTGCTAAATTCTTTCCCTATTTTTAAAACGAAAAAGATTTTAAAACCAAAGAAAAATTTGACACTCACAATATAATCTAAAATTAAATACCGTACCGGACACATCCTTGGCCCTCCACCGAAAATCAACAGAGAGTTCTTTGAGATCTTATTTCCACCTGGTACGCCTTGGTTCAGAAATCGTGAAGGATCAAATTTTTCGGGATCCTTCCAATGTGCTGGATGCATATGAATTGCTGGTACATTAACATTAATTTGTGTCTCTGCTGAAAATCTATGTCTCTGTATCATATCATCTTTGATTGACATTCTAAATATGACCGGTACTATTGACATCATCCGAGAAACTTCAAGACAATCAAGGAATTGAGTGAGTTAAAAGACATAATATAATATAAATCAATGATAAATATTTTTTTCGAGAAATACCTTCTTTAATGATAGCGTCACAATAAACCAATTTATTCAAGTCCTCGTGTTCAATTGGACGATTTAAATCATCTCCAAAGATTGAATTGAATTCTTTAAGCATTTGTTCCTTGACATCCGGGTAACGCCCAAGATGATACACAATAAAACAAAATGTATTTGCTGTCTGCAAAGAATAATTTCATATGATCATGGTAACCTCGTACATAAACGATTTCACAAAAAAAAATAACAAAATGATCCCAAAGGAATTATGTACCGTGTCGACTCCAGCACTGATGGCTTCCATGATATTTCCGCGAACTTCCTCATAAGTCAAGGGTCTCGTATGTTGATCATCTGCAAGATTAACCGTAATATCTCTTGGTGTGTTTACGGTCAACAACATCGTCAGCATATCAGGTGTCAATTGTTCATCATTCGGGGTCATCTCAATCTCTTTTTTTCTCTGCCTAATTAATTCCAAATAAGTATGATTCAATCGATCAACTTCGCCCTTCAAGAAATCGGCCCTTTCTTTAATTCGGGGAATAAATTTCCTCCATAATGTAGGTGTATCCATATAAAATTGTAAAGCGCAGAGCCACGAGTGAATATTATTAACGAAATTCTCCGATTCGGCCAGGTCAATTTCCGAATGTTGTCTCATCCTTGTACCAGATAATTGATTAAAATAATTAGCAAATGAATATACTCTTTTATTTGTTGTTATAACAAACATGACATCCATCACGAATCTCGTCATCCATTCTGATAAGTTAAGTGTAAATTCTTTGCCACTTGTATTTTCCGTCTGAATTCTTAAATCCCTCCAATAATCATCCATTTCTTTGAATAAGTTCTGCGTTATCATGACGTTCTGTTTCATAAATTTCAACGAACTGATTGCCTGATTAAAAAATCTTCGATTAAACATCCAACTCTCCAAACTCCTATTAAAGGTAAACCCTTTTGTAGTTACATCGATCTCATCTAATCCTTCCCTTGGCGTGATCTTAATCAAATAATTACTATTTAATGAAGGACTGAATACCTTTTCTACAAGATCAGCCCTGGATAACCATATGTGACGTTCATTTCCCATATATATTTCGCAGAAATCTCCATATTTCTCTCGAAGACTACTTGCCCATATTGCTGGGTTTCCCCTGTATTGTAAAAGATTGCCAACGAAAGGAAGAGGAATGGGACCTGGTAAAGGTTTATACCGAGAGAAATATCGAAAGTAAAAATAGGCTAAATAAAGCGTGAATACAACGAGCCCATATTTCGTTAGGTTCCAAAGCAAATATTTTATTACATCAATAAATGACATTGCTTAAAAGCAAGTTACACTGGTTTGAAGGAAGGTAATGATTTTTTTACGATAAATAAATATTTTTTTTGTGATACATAGATAATAATACAAGTCTTATTATAGTTAGTACAAGAAAAAAAAATATTTTCTAGAATCTATTGACGAAATTTATATAAAGTCAATCTTCCAGTCAAGTAAAGCCACCCATTTAATACGAACTTAAATAAAAATGAGAACCAACTTTGTTGACCAAACATGTATTTCCTCCTTTCAATGTTTAGAGATCTCTCTTCGTGCCTTTGATCTCTAAAAAAGTCCACATAAAGTTTGGTTCGATCAGTCATTATGGCATCGACGCCCCAATTATGACAATTCCTTGCATGAACTTCCTCGTTAACAGTCCATGCAAACACGGGTTTTCCTTTAGCGTGGGCTTCCTTAATAAATTTTTGTTCATGATCACCAAATAATGCGATGTATTTAATGTTATACCCGTCCACATTGTTAAAATATTCTCTTGCTATGTCTAATGAAACGCCTATGTATACTATTGAGATTCCGGGTAAATAAGTTTTCGCATACGGAATGAATTTTGGATGCCAAATTCCTAATGAAAATTGTTTAGAGAATTCGGAAAAATCTTTATTGCGTGATTTAAAGATTTCACTCAACGTTATAAGAATTTTAGGGGAATTTTGTATCTTAACATCAATTACGGCCCAAATGTGAGAATTCTCTGCTTTGGAAAGAAGATCAAGTACATCTTGAAATCGGGAAATCGGGCAATGTGGCTCTTTTTTTGTAGTGAGGTATTCGATGTCTCCAAAATAATTCTTGTCGGATATCAACCCATGTCCTGTTGTTGTACGATCCAACAAAGCATCATGCATGATCACCACCTCATTATCAAGAGTTAGACGAATGTCTGGGAAAAAAATAAAATAAAATAAAATAAAATAAAAAATTATTTTTAATATTTATTAATATAATTGAAGGATTTCAAAATTTTCTATACCAAACTCTATAGCTTCAGCGCCATCCGCAATCGCTTGTTCAATCGATAACATTGTATTTTCGGGATATGTAGCACTTGCACCCCTGTGACCTACGACAAACGGCCTCCCGATCCTCGACATACATCTTCCCAAGTCATGTGTTAAATGGTTCATATCTAAAAGCAAGGTTACATACATATCAACAAGATTATAAGATGCTTAAAAAGTTAAAAAAAAAAAAGCTTAAATGAACTTTATCAAATACTCGCTTTGAGCTATTTAACATGAAATGATAAACATAATTAATAATTTGCAAACAAAAAGTTAAAAAAGAAAAAATTGCATAGGTTACTTACATTCCATAGTAAACATTAGTCGGTATAGGGGAAAACCAACTGCATTATATAAGAGTTTAATAATAAGGATACGTCAGTCAATCGGTACCGCATTTGGTAATGAATTCAAACTACATTAAGAAAAATTAAAAATATATGTAAATTATTTAATTATATTTGATCACTTTTTCTTCACATGCACGTAATTTTTTTTTTGTGTTTTATACCATGAAGTTTCATTCGACAATCAAAGAATTCATCCTTAATGATGCTTCGAATTTCCTTTCCTTAATTTTTTTAGTCATCTTAACTTACGTATTACAATTCTATTTTCGATACTTTACGAGAAAAGATAAAATTCCTGGTCCAATACCATTTCCATTGATAGGAAACATCGAAACATATCGTCCGAATGCATCGCAATGGGCAATCGAATTGCGCAAAACATATGGCGATATTTTCGAAGTATATTCGGGTGGATTGTTTTCTTTAAGCAGACAAATTTGGATTTCGAATGCGAATCTTACACATAAATTACTTAATCCTTCACTTACACAAAATAATTTTCCTTATCGTACGACCGAAAATGAAGGATTAGATAGAATGGATATGACGAACAGAGGAATTATATTTAATAGAAATGTTAAAGCTTGGCAATACAATAGAAAAATTGTGTCGCGAGCGTTGATGTCTCCAAAATTTTTAAAGAAAGCTATAAAGAATACCGAAGAATTATTTTGTGAGATGGAAAAATATTGGGAAAAAATCGGATACCCAAATAAATTGAACTTGGCAAGTTGGATGATGAGATTTATGACTGATTCCGTTTTTATCCTAATTACACATACAAAATCTTATGCTTTATTTAATTATTTTAACACTTTAAATATTTCGAATGATGATGAAAAAGTATGTACAAATGACCTTGAGGATGTTTTAAAAGAGTCGGAAAAACTTGTAAATTATATTAGATTGCATTTTGTTGCTTGCATTTTCTTTAAAGATACCCCAAAATTATTAAGGAAAATTCTTCCGGGTAATAGAAAGAAATCCAAGGAATTATTGGAAGCCGTTGCTTGGTTAAATAATAAAGTGTTAGAATTAATTAGAGAAAGGAAAAGAGTAATTGAAAATGCTAAATCAGATAAAGAATTAAGTGCCGACATGTTAACTTTACTTTTAACGATTAACACAAATCGGGATTCAAAAACAACTGAAGAGGATGCCATGCCGATGAGCGAAGTCGACGTTCGAGAGAACGTTTATGAGATCCTTGGAGGTGGAATTGACACGGTATGTCAAAAAAAAAAAAAAAAAAAAAAACCTTTTCTCCTTTTTTTTCATCAACTTACGCAAGTTTACTTGTCAGACAGCAAACACGTTTTGTTATGTGGTTTATTATCTTACCCATTATCCTGAAGTAAAACGGAAAATGTTGCAAGAAATTGAAAATGTCTTTGGAAAAGATATGAATCACGAACTTACATATGAATCCGTCAACAGGCTGAATTACTGCGAAGCAATCATTAAAGAAGGTCGTTGATCTTTTGTTTTTCTAATATTCTTTTTGCGATTTAACATTTGCTTTATTCGATTTTCACAGTTTCACGTTTAATGCCGACGGTTTCAGTCTTGTTTCGCGTATCAGCAAATCCCGATGAAATCGCTGGTTATAAATTCTCGGAAAACACACAATTTATGATAAATATTCCGGCTATACAAATGAATCCTTCTCATTGGAAACAACCTGAAATATTCGATCCCGATCGTTTTATTGAACCATCAGTTGCAAAGAACGCACTGCTTTATTTTGGTGGCGGTGCAAGAATTTGCATGGGTAAACAATTGGCAATCTTACAATTGAAAGCATTGATGGTTTTGTTGTATAGAAAATATGATGTGGAATTGGTGGATATGGTTGGAGATTTAAAATATTCTTCAACGGTCGTGAATCATTGTGAAGAATTGATGGTGAAAGTAAAACCAAACAATTCCATTTAGAGAAATGGGATCAATTAAAAGCATTGAACTTCATATTTGGATGTAAAGTATTAATAAACATTTAAGATATGAATAAAAGAAATCATTTTATTATTAAAATTCAAAAGATTTTAACCCTTGGATGGTCTTGATGAAGGAATGCCCTTATTCTTTTCAGTTTGTGAAAAATTCTGATCTCTTTCGATCATCATGAACATCCCATGTCAACAGGTATACGACGAAAATCCAAATCCACTTTAAATAAATTCGTTGCATTTAACAGTATGAATCATTTTATGTCTCAACAAGGATTGTAATCGAGAGAACCTTTTTCCACATTCGGGTACTTCACATTCGTGTGGACGTTCTCCTGTATGGTTGCTCATATGGTACTTTAAATGATCCGCTCGAATAAAACTCTTTTCGCAACCAGGTTCTTTACATTTATGCGGCTTTTCGCTAACATGAATTAACCTGTGATTTGCCAAGTAATTAGATCGAGGAAAACTCTTCCCACATTCATCACAGTTGTACGGACGTTCCCCGGTATGAATTCTCGTGTGATCTTTTAAATAGTATGATCGAGTAAAGCTCTTCTCGCATTCATTACATTTGTAAGGTCGTTCGCCAGTGTGAATTCTCTTATGATCTTTTAGATGATCGGATTGAGCATATTTTTTTTCACAGCCGGGTTCATCACATTTATATGGTTTTTCACCAGTGTGAACTTTCATATGACGCGTTAGATTATAAAGTTTAGTAAAGTTCTTGCCGCATCCTGGTACCCTGCATCCAAATGACTTGTTCTCAGGAAAATAATATCCATCGATATGGGTTCTCTTGTGCTTCCTTAAAAAACTGGATTGAGAGTATTTGGCTTCACAGCCAGGTTGATCGCATATGAATGAAACTTTTTCATGACTTTTCATGTGACGAGTAAAATGACCGGATTGAATGAAGCTCTTCCCGCATCCCAACGCAGTACATTTGTATGGACGCTCACCAGTATGAGTTCTCATATGATCTGTTAAATGACCAGATCGAGAATATCTTTTTTCACAGCCAGGGAAATCACAGGCGTACGGGCGTTCTCCGGTATGTTTTCTCATATGATCCGATAAATGACTAGATCGACCATAGCTCTTTCCGCAACCCGATACTTTACATTTATATGGCTTTTCGCCGGTGTGAGCTCTCATGTGAATTTTCAAATAGATTTTCAGAGAGAATCGTTTCCCGCAAAGAGGTTCATTGCATACATAACGTTTCTCTCTTGAATGTATTTTTTGATGATGCTGAAACATGGATATAGAAGAAAATTTTCTTCTACAACCAGCTTGGTCACATCTGTATTTCTTTTGCTGCGATATTCCAGAAACTTTTGCGGGGCCATCAATTCTTGTATCGACGTTATCACTCTCATCGCTATCGGATTCGAAATCCAACTCATCAGGTTCGATCGTATCACTACTGACATCATCTACGATGGTTTCAATTTCCGTGTCACTATAATCCACCATAAAGAATTCCTTTCCCGTCTGATGAAAATGTGAAATGATTCAATAGTTGATACACATAATAAAATGTTAAACAAAGGCGAGAAGGAATTTCTTACGTTGTGAGACAAGTCATTACCCTTCTCATAATATAATGTGGGATTCGAATCATTATCATTCGATGATTCTCCGGTATGAGATGTTATATGTTCCTTTAATTCATAAGATCGAAGAAAGTTCAACTCGCATCCGGGTACGTTGCATTTGTATGGAAGTTCACCGGTATGGCTTATCATATGACGTTGCAAATGACCCCATTGAATATAACTCTTCCCACAATCAGGTTCCTTACACTTGTAGGGACGTTCACCCGTGTGGATTCTTTTGTGACGCGACAACATATTTGATCGAGTAAAACACTTTCCACATCCAGGTTCCTTACACTTGTAGGGACGTTCACCCGTGTGGATTCTTTTGTGACGCGACAACATATTTGATCGCGTAAAACACTTTCCGCACCCAGGTTCCTTACACTTGTAAGGACGTTCACCCGTATGAGTTCTAATATGCTCTGTTAACTGATGGGCCAAAATAAAAGTCTTTATGCAACCAGACTCTTCACATTTGTAAGGGCGTTCTCCGGTATGAATTTTCGTATGTTGACGTAAACGATTAGGAGTCATGAAAACCTTTCCACAATCTTCACAATTATAATGACAATCGCTTGTATGAATCTTTTGATGGGTTTTTAACCCTTTTAAATTGGTAAATTTCTTCGCACAAGCAATTTCATCGCACTCAAAGGGTTTAAATCCCAAGTGTAACCTTTGATGTTTTAGAAGGGAACGTTTTGAAGATAATGTCCTTCCACAATTTTCTTGATTACATTTGTATTTTCGATTTTGTGATTTCCGAGAATTTTTATGATTGGAAATTTCTTTGGAGGGATCATAATCATCATGATTAGGATAATAAAAACTCGTTTCATGTTCTGCCACATCGTCACCGCAAGAATTGCTGGAGATTAAAGATTCCTTGTTGCTATCGACGCTGGTACAAGAACCACGAAGATAACCTACAGCACTGGTGCAAGAATTACTTGAGCTTGAAGCAACCTGATTGTAGCTAGGAATAGTACAAGGATCACTCTTGGCAAAATCATCACTGTAAGTTTCGCTCGCGACAAAACCTTCCTGGTCGTCAAAACGGCTAATATAACAATCAAGTGTATTACTGATATTCATGTTTATTCTTTCATTTCTTTCATTGAAATCATTAAATTCGACAAGTTCATCCTTTAAATCATTCGGTCAAGAAGTGTTCAATATATATATATATATACACGTCAAAAATATGATATACATGGCCTTTAACAGAAAAAAAATTTAATTTTATTTCAAAAACTTACATCACGTGTCGTGCTATCCTTTCCTTCAAAAAAAGAGCCAAAACCCGAACTCTCTGAGAAGGTTACGTTAAAGGAAAAAAAAATTAAACATTTGTAATTAATTTTCTTGTATCAACAAAACTAAATAATGAATATACCGTGACTGAGACGTTGATACATTTTTACCAAAGATGATTTTTTTTAAAAATGTTTTTTGGGGGAAAAAGTCAAAAACAGTTTATGCACAAAAAGGTAATAAGGTTGTTTTTTTGATGCCTTAATTTAGGTGTGTTGAGATTATACATGTAGATCGAAATCTAAATTTAGTCACATGATCAAGCATTTACTAATTTCTCGACAAATTGGAAAAATAGCAAAAAAAAAACAAATTCGATGAAACCAATTTAGTACTATATATACACACTATCATAATTCTCGAGTTCTTAAGATGGATTTATTATGTATTTATACATCAAATGAAATAAGTCTTATTTTTTTTTTTTTTTAGAAACATTATTAACATATTTTTGGCAATTTGACTTGTTCGCTCCGAGGACTTGATAGTAGAATTTATTTATATGAAAAAGAAATTCAAATATTCAAAAAAAATAGTCACGTGTTCAAATTTATAAATTTTAAATTACTACTATCCTTTCATGACAAAATCTTTACTTAAAGTTTTATTAATGTGGTCAAGAACCATGTATTAATTCAGACTTGAATTAAATAACATTCCTGTATTACAAATATGAGAAACTGATGTCATATCGTGTTGAAAGATACTGACATTTAATTCGCACTCCGTAACTGGTAGTGTTAAAGATTTCTATTGGCCGACGATTTTCAATTATGTAATCACTTTGAAGCAGATAACGTTAATAATAAACTATTTGTTTGATTTTATTGAAAATAAAAATATTTAACATATACTGTATATATATATAATATCCGCAAGTAATCAAAATCCTTTGGAAGAATAAGAGAGAAATCAAATTTCAACACGATAGTTCATTCCATTTAATATAATACGAATGAATCGGATGAAGCATACCCCTCGGATTGTCATTTAATTTTCACCCGCATTCCTAACAATGTTATTGTTTCTTGCTGCGTCGTTATGACTTGATCTGGCGGTACTTCCGCCCGTGTTACTACGAACCGTTGGATTATAAGCCTTAGCGGTTGGATTGTGAGCGTTCGAGCGAGCATTAGCTGAAGATTTTGCAGAAGAAACGGTTTGGTTTCCACCACTGCCTTTACCACCACTGTTAGAACTTCCCCTTTTTACCATGTTAAATTTGAAAAGTACGAGAATTTATTTATGTTATCAAAAAAGAAATAAAAAAAAAAATGACTTCCCGCCGATAAAAGAACAGGTTTCAAATGTTGAAAATCCCTTTTTGTGAAAGGAAATTTAGGAATCCTTAAATATCCTCTTGGATTCTATCTAACCATTCTGACAAAAAACAATATTGAATTCAATGAATTCAATTATCAAATAATGACAAATAGATCGAATCATACGTTTTTAATTTTTCCCTTGGGAAAATTTCGTCAACTTTTTGACGATCATGTGACTCATCGATAAAAATGGCGTAAAGCAGAAAATAAAAAATATTTATCATAAAGGGATACTATTCTTTGTTTGCTTGATTTACGCCGCCCTTTATTAAATCCAACGGGTTTTGGTTAAGATAACTTGAAAAATTACACGTTGATTTGCTCGATAACCAACAATTTATGATAAACCATAAGAGATGATGTATTAAATTAAAATCAGATGAGAAAATCCTTCTTTATTTCTTTGTTTTCGTTTGGTATCACACGCTTTTATAGTTTGGACCAAAAATAGAGGACAGTTGGCCAATCAGGATCGAGGAACATTCGGAGTGGGAAGTTCTTTACAGACTTTCCTTGCATAAGATTCGTGTCATTCGGAAAACGTTTTAAATAAGACTTACAGTGTATGGAATCAGGAGTTGAAATCCCGTTGCAAGAAAAAGTTGTTTATAGTATCTGGAACTATAAATATTATCATTGTTTACAGTTATTACGGTTACACATGATAACAAAATAAAAATTCAAGAAAAAGTCAATGTGAACGCAAATTAAATTTAAAATTTCCCCTTTTGTTTACTACGAGGAAAATCACGAGGTAAAAACAATCCTGCCGAATGATGTCTTCTAACGTTGCACGAAACATCTTTTTGTTACAATCAAATGATGATCAACATGCTTTAAACAAAATAAAAAATCCTAAACTTCATTTATTATTATAATGATATTAAAATTGCTTTTTTTTTTCTATCGTTTCTTTCTTTACCTTCCCTCTTTAGTTTTTTTTTTTTTCCTTAAATCTTTTTATAAAAGATTTGACACCTAGTGTTACCATTCTTTCGGAAATCGAGTTCGGAGAATCTTTCCATTAATTCCATCAAATCTTTCTTCTCGAAAGGGATAGTTTTGTCGATTACGAGTGCCAAACTCGATAACCCTTTTTTTTTTTTTTTTTTGGAATCGGACCCCGTCCTGCCAAGATATAAATATCTAAGCAACGACGTTTGTTTGACCAAAATTTAATCACTCCAACTACCTTTTTCATTTATTTTTTTTTTCATCAATCATTTTCTTTTATCGCATCACCGCATAATCAAATAAAAATGTTTCAAGAGGGCACCCTTAAAATCGCGAATGACACCAATTCCTTTCGAAGGAAAATCAGCGTTGAAAACTTTTTAGGTGTCTTTAAGAAGAATAACCATGGAAAGAGCATTAACAAATCAAAATGTCAACTACAAGGATGTAACAATGAATGCACAAATGAAATTTTTAATTCATTTTGTAGCGAAAAGTGTCATCTTTCTAAACCTCTACCAGATCCAGCAAATTCATCAAAGTGTGAATCGAATGTCATACCAATGAGAAAAACTTTAACGGCAACTTCTATCACTTCATCTTCCTCTGCAACTCATTTATCACCTTTTTCATTTATTCGACCCTTTGCCTCAACTTCTGTGACTTCATTCTCTGATGAGGATTCAATAGAGCCGGAACTTACATTTGGATCTTCATCGAAATCATTAAATTATTTACCATGGAAAAATCATAGTTCAGCCTTTAAACATAAAATTTCCACATCTTCATTTGAAATGATTTCTTCTAACGATCAAGACCTTGAAGGTTCGGTTGAAATGAAGAAGTCTAACAAGAAATTTAAATCCATTAGGAGATTTCGTAGTTTCTTTAATAATCATTCAACAAATTCTTCAAATAGCGAACAGGTTGATTCCGCTTATGAAACTTCAACAGAAAAGGATTTTAAAAAAAAGAAAGAGAAATCGATCAAAAAGACAAAAATGACCACACTTTCTCCCACGGATCAAGAGTATAATGAAGTTGAAAAATTCTTTTCTGTTGGATTACCACATAAGGAAATTCTTGGTATTGTTCGTTTACAAATGCCAAGAAAACTTGTCAAAGCTCATAAACAATATAAAATACAAACTGCCAAGGTTAATAATGTACCGGAATTAAATGTTTGTCATAAAATGTTTCATGGTACTAAGAATGGGTTAGGTTGCGAGCCACAACGGTTTATCGACCAAAAGAAAGCCGGTTTTTGTAAAAAGCCTTGTGGAGTTTGTGGTATTGCCAAAGAAGGCAACAAAACGAAATTTTCTCGTTACAGCCACCGTAAGTTTTTTTTTAAAAAATAAAAATAAAAATACGTATAAAAATAATAATAATAATAATAATAATAATAATAATCTGATTTTTTTTTGTCTTTTTCAAAAAAAAAATTCCGACCTTTCTCCTTTCTTTCTTAGAAATGTGGTTTGCGAATAGTTCAAGCACATCGCAAGGTTATTGTAGCAACACCTCTGTGAAAGTAATATTTGTGGTTGATGTAATCGCGCCTATAGGTGGCTCAATATTGATTGTCGACAAGGACGCTGTACGTTGAGCAAATTTCCTTCGAAATATTATTTATTACTTACGATTACCCAATACTAACGTGATTTTTTTCATGAAATTAGGCCACGCTTCCAAAGTACCTTATTGTCTACAAATGAACGTCTCACGAGACCAATTTCTTGTAAAATATACATATACATACGCATATATTTCTCTTTTTTTTGTATTAATTTATCAGGGTAATCTGATTGAATTCATTACTTTGAAGGATTTTTATCTTTTTTTTGTAATTCATCATCACCCTTATTTATTTATCTGTCTGTAATTTATTATACTTAAGATGTCAATTGTATAGCAGTGGTGATTGAATAAATAAATAAGCGGGAATCTACTGCGTCACATGACGCGATTTCGCACGGGAGCGATTTTCATGTTTAACCTTATGAATAGGGATGGCCTAGTTTTGTTTGGTTTGAACTTAAAAAGTTTTAAACTTATCTTGTAATTTCACGTGATAAATATGCTAATCGTATTTTTTTTTTAAAAAAAACAGCTAAAAAAGTTTGAAATTATAACATTTCTATACTTTATAAACTTTTTATACCTACTGCATAACCAAATTTTGAGATAATTAATGTTTTCTCTGGATTTAAACAATTATCAAAGGATTTATAGTGATGATTATCAATATGATTAATTGTCTTTTCTATTTTTCTAGTATCATATCTTCCCTTAAAATTGAATCTAACATGAATAAACAGAGTTAGTCATATTATATTCCATAAAGGTTTAAATCCTAGTCAAGCCAAAACCTGACCTTCCATCAACAATTTGAGTAAGATATTTCTCATCCTATTCGCATTCTGATTCATTTTCACTTCATACAAATTGCACTAAAAGTCTTAGAATTACCTAGTTTGCCATTAATTTGTTAGTAATTCTCACATATCTTAGAAATATACTCCTCAATACACTCAATGACATTTCAATAATTGTACTTTTTTATCTTATGTAAAAGAAATATTCAAAATCTAAAATGCGATCAAATTAGTATTACATGTGCTATCCTTAATTGGATTTTTTTTTATTCTTATATATTACAGTCACACCTCGATATAACGAAGTTGCCGATCCAGCCGATCAGGACTTCATTATAAGAATCTTCATTAACGCTATAACGAATTATGCGGAATGTATAATGAATAATTCGTTATAGCATTAACAAATTATTCGTTATAGTAGATGATTACTGATTTCATTACACAAATATAATTTTACTATTTCCAGAAATATTT